AAAATGACGGGAAGATTTCGTTTTTTTAGGAAAAAACTTGCCTAGATACGTATACAATAACAACATCTGTTTCCCTATAAACGATTTAACTGTCTCGAGGCATTGTACCTGTTTTCACCAAAAGACTGACCGACTGGAACTTATATTTACATATTGAAGCTGGAGCATGGTTCTCCCGTTATTATGACTAAACATGAATCGCCTAAAGTCCATTTAAATTTCACGTCATAGTTTAAAAGTAGCATTAAACGTTTTCATCGGATGTCATTTTATTATTTTTCTCATCTCATACATTGTACATGAATATACATGTATGCATGAACAAATATTATTGTATACTTAAGACTTACAGACTAGATATCCTTAACTGTGATGAGTATTGATGTCTTTCAATGTATACAGTCTCTTACCTTAAGCCTAAACTTAAGTTATACATCTGATACAGTCTCATGTTTCTGGATTTGTCTGTTTATCTATTTAAGATCAAACATTCGAAAATATTCCTTCATATATTTATTCATTGAAAAAACATGATTATGTCTATAACTCCTTTGAAAACATTTTATTTTGAAAATATCTCATTCACATTTTTCAAACAATACGGTAGATTTTCTTCTTTTTCTACCAAAAACGGAACACTTGTAACAAAACGACTCGAAAACTGTCATGCAATGTAAAGAGGTATGTTCATTTATGCAGTTTTCATTTTATGATACATTAATGACAATTTAACTGTATATAAACGTTTTTGGCTGCTGATTATTGTTACACGGACAATTTAAAGGTTAGAATAATAAACAAAACGAAATTGTTGTAATTAACGTGACATGTGTTGCTTTTAATTTGGCTTTCATTTTCAAAAGTCTATTTTATCAAAACTAATACTAGTTTGGAGAAGAAATTTAATCAGAACCCCCTTTGATTCTAAAATAGTTGAACTTTTTATCGTTTATCCCCCCAAATAAGCCAAATACCAAAGTGTCCCTTTCAGGGTACAGTAACACCTGTCCAAGGGCCTACATGAACCTGATAGTATTTCGTGTTCTATATATAGAACCGTGCGCCAGAAATGCCAACTTGTAATAGAAATGCAAAGTGGATGATATATTTTTATGAAAAATGAACAAACATTTTTGAAACTGATAATATGGTATAAAGTACATTGATAATTTTCTTAAAAGTATCCCGTTTTGGGTACAGCGACGTTAGTGTGAACCTATCGCATTGGTGGGGCGTACTGTTTTAATACAAACAAAAATCATCCAATTAATGTAGCATTTGTTTAAAGTAAATTCTAGAATCATATATTTGATAATGTTTGCTGCATTTCTCATCCATATAAATTCATATCAATATTACTTCTTTTAATTTGTAGGGGAAGCCATGAAGAAGCCGGGTATACTGTGGACGGACGACGTCCCATTTGTATGGATAAAGACCGCCCGTAGTTTGTTAATGGTTTTAGTACATACAATAAGTCTTTCAGTTGTTATCGTTCTATCGAAAATTCCCTTCTTCAGAAACTTCATAAAACCCCTTTCAAAAAACAGAAAAATTCCTGGAACTAAAGAATTGCAGCTGAACATGTCAGCAAAAACAATCACTACACAAGCCCGGATTAGACTGGTAGATGTGCTCTCAAGAAAAACATTTCTGGGTCGTAAGGCTCCTAACACGGATCTGTATGACATGGATACGAAGTCGTACAGAAAACTCTACAGTTTTCAAAAGGCAGGGCGCCCTCTTGTGTTGAACTTTGGAAGCTGTTCCTGACCTCCATTCATAGCACTAGTCGAGGAGATGAAAAAGATCATCCACGACTTTTCTGATATCGCCGATTTCGTGACCATCTACATCCGGGAGGCCCACCCCGTGGAAGGATGGCAAGTCTTCGGACACCGTTTCGAAGATATGAAGGATCATAAAACGCTTGAAGATAGGGTCGAGGCAGCGAAATTCCTCCGTGACTTTGACTTGAAGTGTCCAATACTGGTTGACCCCTTTGATAACCAGAATGGTCTTCAGTACGCGGCTGTGCCGGAACGTTTGTATATACTGTACGATCATACCGTCATGTATTTCGGAGCCGTCGGACCGGAGAACTACAAACCTGACGCTGTTAGGTCGTGGCTGAATTGTTTTAGGAACGAGGGGTAGATTATCAAGAATGACAGACTTTGATAAATACGGAAGGCATAATATATTTGGAAAAATCTGTTTATTGCGAAAAAACTAATAAATTATATAATTTCATATTATAAGATATAATTTGCCTGCAATAATTATTTTAACACTGACAATTATATCAGCATGATGTTTTATTTTATTATTATATAAAGCATAGGTTGCAGCGTGTATCAATAGCATCAGAACTTTTTTTTAATCACAGCACGACATACCAATTGATGGATGAATTTCTTTAGAAAAAACCATATATCTTTGGAAACGATGGTGTCGTTAGTATGTCGTTCTGTTTTAAGTAAGAGTTCATTGCATTAGTAAATGTAAAACACGTGTTAGTACAAAACACTTTTCATTTCTCATAATGAAACATTACATTATGAAGACAAGAAATGACTGGGATACTCTAATGAATTTCAGAAAGCAAATTAGTTTTGGATCAATCTGTTATTGCAGAATTGCTTCTACATCAGATTATACACATGTATATGCTTTCATATAATAATATATATATATTGCATGCAAGGATTATTCTAACACATTGAATTTTATCAGCTTGATATATCTCTCAATTATTAGATAAAGTCTAGATTATAACGTGTATCAATTGCAATAGAACTATTTTTTAACACAGTAAGACATACCAATTGATGGATGAAATTCTTTAGAAAAAATATATATCTTTGGAAACGATGGTTGCATTGGTATGTCTCCCTGTGTTAATTGAGAGTTCTCTGTGCTGGTCAATGTTACATATATATTAAATGAAAATGCTTTTTATTGCACTTTATTCACCACTGATATAAAATTATAACAAGAAATACGAAGAAATGAAGTAAGTGTACAAATCGCTTCGACAAATCCAATAAACTTACGATTACGGTTACAAGAGAATAATTGATCTATACCATAAGTATTGTTACAGTGTACTTATTTGTATATTGCCAATACAAAGAATAGATATAATATTTAAATCGTAAGATGTGATTATCAACATGTTCAAAATAAATTGCTTTGTTTCCTGTATTATCTAATAAACGAGTCAGAATGGGCTTGATATCCTGTACACTGTGTTATTGTTATTGACCTCAGAAAATGACGGTAAGGTACACACCGAGATACACAAAATCGTGCCGATTTCGTGACCATCGACATTCTGTATACATGTCTACGGGTGCTATCGGTTAGCGGTAACGTACACCTGCGACATCGACTAGGGAAAAACATATAAGGTAAATAACGTAAAACTCGAACATGGCTGTACCGCAGAACCTAGTATACTAGTAGGTGCACATTAACATAAAGAAACATTTGCTAGATACGTTATACGATAGTATGTCTGATCACCTCAGTGACACAAATATTTATCACTATTGCAAAGTAAATAAATCAATATAACAATGTACATGAATGATTAATATGACAATGTACATGGATTATCAATATTATAATGTACATTAAGTAATATTACGATGAACATGAATTATTAATATTACAATGTACATAAAGTAATATTACAATGTACACAAAGCAATATTACAAAGTACATATATTAATATTAACTATGTTACACCATAGATCTCGGTTTTATTTAGTAACCCTTGCGAAGGATAAATTATAATGAATGTCTGCTAATAAAACAGTATTTCAAACAATTTAGATAAATACTTAAACCGGGATAGCCTTTCCTTATTTTTGTTCTCTGATCTAACAATATTTCAGTTAAATGAATGACACTTTGATTGTGTCACTATCAACCGTTTTGATGTAGATTACATATATCAAACGTTTATAACAGTGTTGTATCCGTATAAAATTCCTTTGTAACGGAGGTCAGGTGTGACTTTTGGAGTAGTATACTGTAATTATAGTCATGGGCTAATCTTATGAGTTTTATGAGATGTATTTACACACCTCTGTGTATGAAAGATACCTCATATAAAAACACAATTGTGATAACTCTTTCTCTCATTCCTGTGCATGCATGATAGAGTTGTCAAGGGTAATTAAGGTGTGTAAGAAAATGTATGTTAAACCCCTTCACGTGCATTGCATCATATTAGAACAAAAGTGATGTGACGTCATTAAATAGGGGTAATTCTGATGCTGCGGTACAGAAACCGTTTTGATGTAGATTACAGAGACTAAACGTTTATAACAAATGTATTTATAGCTACTTTTCTGAGTTATATGCGAAGTATGGGCCACGTCTGTGTATGAAATATACCCCATACGAAAAACACATAACTTTTACACTCATTCCTGTGCATGCATGATAGAAATGTCCTAGGTAGGAAAGGTGTTAATATATGTTTTATTTTAAAACCCCATTTTATGTGCATGACCTCACCTCTCGTCTTAAATGGCGGGCCCAGGAGATTTGTTACAGACATGCGCAGTAATAACCCGGAACCATGCGTACCGTTAGGGTGTTACTTCAAGCAGGATATTCCGTCTTTGCGTATTGCAGAGTTATCTTCTCTTGAGAGCAGGTATTGATCGTTACGTCATTGGTTGGTGTGAGAAAATTACGTCGTTTTCTCAAAAAGTGATGACGTTACTCTCACAAACAAATGACGTAACAATCAATATGTGTGTGTTGAGCAATATATATAGATGTAATATGTATAAAAAAATAAAATAAAAATAAAGTCTGCTTTTGTCTGGGTGAGTTTATTAAGTATGCAATTTGTTGTAAATTTTGGTCGATGGCGGCCCCCATATAAAAAAAGTTCAAATAGGCAGGACAGTGGTAAACGTTAACACTATCGTCTATGGAAAATCTTTTGGTTCTGCGGTCCTTACAGAAACATGCAGGATATGACGTTTTACACCATTCAAGCGTCCCTGGAAACCAGATGATGGGTTCACCAGCATATTTCCGGTTGTGAATCTATTCATGGTTCTCAATATTTTAATGTTTCATTTCTTTTTCTCAATCATAACTCTGTCTTTCACATAAATTTCTTCATCAATTTTACAGTCATGTAATTTGAATATTTTGTGTCTCTTATTTCTGAAGTTTACACCGCAATGATTGACTTCGTGTTTTATTGTACAAATGTCTTTTTTGTTCTTTATCTAGGTCCTTGGACACAGAGCTTCCAGCAGTGATTGGAGACCCAACCCCACTGCACAGTTCTTTAATGGCAGTTCCCGGTCCATAGTTCACAGAATACACCGCCCTATGAGCTCTCCATGAAAAGTTACGAGTAAAGTTCACACTTTTGGGTAGTCAAGTTCCACAGGGTCTTTTCCAAAACGGAGCCACCGAGACGGGCATCAACTTTCTCCATCAGGACTTTTGACACAGTTGCCTCTCTACCGCTGACCTTGAAATCACTTGGTAAGTATATGTTGTCTGTAAGCCAGTTATTTCTTTCCTTCCCTGCACACACTAGTGATTTGGTCCCGCACTCATAGTGTACACCTTGGTAACACTTCACGATGGCCTCTCTTACACCATGAGCAGCACGTTGTAAAGGAATAAGACTCCCACAATGTCTGTCGTACAGGTGATACAGCTCTGCCTGACACCGAGCGGCTAGGTCACCAGTAAATCTTTTTTTAATTGTTTATCGCTCTTTCTTAGTGAATCCCGGCATTATTTCCTCAAGTTTCGCACACTTTCAAATGTTTTTTTCTAAAATTCCTTGTTAGATGAAAAGGGTCCAGGTTTTGTGTTGGCTTTGTACATTTTGCACCACTTTTATATCTCTTTTCAGCAGCCTTGAATGCCCCTGCATCTGAGTCGGTGACAAGCTTTTCCACCTCCAGGCCGACTTTTTGAGGTTTTCCAGACTTTCGTAGCAGTATGCCTGTTCATTACCAATTTATGAGGCCAGAGGTAGGTTACCTTTACAGTGTGAGGTATGCTCACTTTCACAGGGTGGCCATATATTGCAAAGTTTGTTTTTGGTGACAAGGTCCACCACATACTGGTCCTTGGTGGTGTGTTCTATAGTGCTGAACATAACTTGTGTTGCTGGCTGGAACGGAGTCTTCCCCGCACCAGAATAAATTGGGTTGTTGTAGGTGGCATCCACCATCAGGTCTATTTTGTTTGGCGGGTTTTCTCGGTGCGTGTTGATTTCTTTTATCGTCTTTCGCAGTTCACCCATGTCGGTCTTGTTGGGTTCCTCTATCTGGTCACACACTTTATTGGTACTCTTCTGCATTCCTCTCTCTGAGGGGGTAGGAATGTTGGCACTCATCAGGGTGAGCCGCAGTGCGGCATTGCCAATTCTTGTCTGTGTCTGTCCGACTTGCACTGCAGAATTCATCTGCACGGTGTCTCTCCCCTTCCTGCCTGCTTCCCTCCTTCCTGTGTACAGAGAATACACACTGGAAACATATGTACACTTTGTGCATTTGAGTCCTATTCGCCACCCTAGCCCCCAGCACTCCTGTGTCTTAAAATCAAAGTCCATGTTTCCCTTGCATGATGGAGTAGGAGTTGTATGTTGACGTACAGCATCATTCCACATATCTCGCATCCTCCCAATATTTACTATTCTGTTGGTCTTGTATTCCTCACTCTCCCTGTAATAAAAAGAGACATGTTTGAATAATAAACATGAAATGTACATTTAATGTATGTGTAATGAATTTCAATTTCATGTATCTACATTTGTGTTTTTATATTTCAGGTTTCTTTTGACTTACCTTAGTGGTTCATCTTTGGCCACATGTGAAGGACGGAGCAGCCTGTGAGAAGATGTCCGATGTACAGGTGAGAACTTTGGGGCTTTCACAACCTGGTCATGTAATTCACTTGTTAACCGTACTGTTGGGACTTGGTCCATGTCAGAATGAGTCCATTTCTCAATTTTCTCTCCTTTTTTGTAGTACGGCTGCTTTCCTTTCTTAAACTGTCCGGCATTGTTCTGAGGTCTCACCATTTTAGAGTTTCCACAATCCCTCTCACTTTGCATGTATCTGTCTCTGGTATGTTTCAGTGGCTGATCAATGCCCTTTATATATACATTAGTAAACAATACGAAATCTTGTGTCAGTATTTACACTAATTAAGGTCAAACTGGACACTTGACTGGCAGACCTCTGTTCCCTGGTGTCTGCACTTGGTTAGCAGCCCTCATCACTGTCTTTCATATCAGCTGGTGTTACAATGTATGTAAACATTCTGTAATCCTATCATTATGGTGTTGTACTTTTTGTACAGTTATAAGTCTTTAGTTTTGTGTCTGCTTTTTGGCTCTTTTCTCTAAATAATTGCTGGTGTCCTGAATTTTTTACATAAAGTCCAAAATTAAGGTGATATAGGTCTTAAAATTGAGTTACTTCCCCTGATCTTCAGACAATATATTATTTGTTCATATTTCTGAGAAGTACAGTACCTGTACTTTAATAATAACTCAAAACCATAAGTCTAAGTATAATGTGTATTAAGATATTAAAGTTTACATTTTGAAATTAATTCAATTTTCCTGTCTTTTCTTGCAGGAATCTCCATCTTCAGTACCAGTAGAAGACTTGACCTAGCAGCCCAAGCCTTGGTGATAGCCACTTTTCATTTTGGTTTCATACCCTATGGTCCTGACTGTTTCCAAAAATGGTAAATTTGAAAAATATGTGGGATCCTATAGGGACCACGGAACAAAATCAAAAATAGATTGTGGGTTTTTCCCTTTTGGGCAGAAGATTTTATAGGAAGGTGAATGCCTCGGGGCCTGCTGGTTGGATATTTAGGTGGCAGAATTTCCAAAATTTTTATGTGTGGGTTGAGCAATATATATAGATGTAATATGTATAAAAAATAAAATAAAAATAAAGTCTGATTTTGTCTGGGTGAGTTTATTAAGTGTGTAATTTGTTGTAAATTTTGGTCGATTTTTGGTGCCGAATTCAATACAAGATGGCGGCCCCCATATAAAATAGGACAGTAAACGTTAACACTATCGTCTATGGAAAATCATTTGGTTCTGCGGTCCCTAGAAGCTATAGTCTAAACATTTTTCTCACACTCAACAAATGTTTACTTAAAAACAATTATGGTAATCAAAATGTAGCTTTCTTAGCTCACTTTGCATTAATATCAAAGACGTAAAACTAAAATTATTTTCTAATTTTTAACCTATTATGTGCAATACTGTATGGCCTGACTAGAATTTTGATACCTAGTATAAAACACTAAACATGAACATCCGAATAGTTTTCTGAATTCAAACACAATTAAAAGTTCTCAATCATACGCGATGGTTTCGCAACATCACGACGCGGACAACGTCTCTGGCTCATCACAATCATATGATTTGTTGGTGTGACAGGTACACTCAGATCCTCTAGGTGGACTAGCAACCTCACTGGGCTTAGCCTTTGTGCTAGATGTTGCTGACTAGGTCGGTGGAATAGGTCGAACCTGGGGAAAAAATACTATGTTATCAAACTCTTCTGATTTCAACTCATCAATGTCTCTAGTATGCTAGAAAAAAATTCCTGAAAGAATCCCCTTTTTTCGCCAAAAATGAAGAACGAGAATATATCGGTTAGATGAAAGAAAATTAAGATTTTTGATATTTTCTTTGATACAAGAGTGCTGTAAATATGTTAATTTATTACACATACCTCTATACCCTACTTTGACAAAATTAACTGGCTCTGGTATTGGCATCATATTTCAAAATCCAAGATGGCTGACAATATCCGGATACAAAAAAATGGCACAAGCGTACTTCGGCCTGGTAGAGGTATATGATGATAATATGATATATACAGGAGAAGTTAGAAGAGTGTTTGGGAAATGCAGTGTAAAATATGGTACATGTACAAAATTCGTTATATTCATAAAATCAGTGTATTGTGGTCAAGAAAAATCCTTCTGCTGCGTTATCGTTAATACACGTTATGATTTATTTTCATACTGTTTCAAGAAAGGTATATATATGCATATAAGTAAGATCTAGATAAACAAGCTGCATTATAATGCTAATATAAAATATACTCTATGATAATCATAATCATGTGGATGTCTTTCCCTACGCAGATCGTCGTTGTGATAGACTGTCCACATTCCATACACTATTGCTGATCAATTGAACCCCGTATTTAGTCCTTGCCTCACAGCACCTATCTCGAAATTCACCATCCGCTTGCCTGTTCTTTGTACATGTAATGCTATTACCTAGTGAATTGTCTAACTTATATAGTTTAATGATAAATAGAACCCGCTTTGTTGCGTATACAACACCATTATATATTCATGCCAAACACTTAAATTTTCGGCAAATCTAAATGTGAGACAAAATATTTTTGGAACAAACTCGTATGGGCGGTAAATCCCATATAACAAACGTACGTTTGTAGGATACAAATAAGTTAAAATTGGAATGCTGGAAAAGGAAGTCATTCAAACAGTGTAAACAATGAAATCTCTTTTTCTCTACATAGTTGGATTTACCTCATTGCCCCATATGTATATAAGATTTCATATTATAAGATATAAATATTGTTTTGTAGTTGTATAATATATTATATGAGCATCATATATTGCACTATTTATTTTTAAGCCTATCCATTTCAAGTGAACTATTTTTCTTTCACAGTAAGACATACCAATTGATGGATGATTAGTGATTAGGACCCCAGCCGTTATTTAAACATTCTCTCTTCCACTGTAACAGTTAAATGTAGTCAAGAACCTGACTGTTTTATATCGTAAAGAACCGGGCAATCGTGAGGGCATATCTTACTAACAGCTAATTTTACCTGTATTTTATAAGAAGCTGGACCGCTATTAAAGCTGACAGTGCAAGTTAAAAAGCTTTCAATTCAGATTAAAAAAACATCTGGTTTTGAGAAATTCCCCATCTATTCCGACTATCGTTTCGAAGGAAGTGCCGACATTTTAGTTTGTCCTTGCTTAGTAACGAGTATGAGTCTCATTGGGGATAAAAAGCGCATTACCTGTCAAACCGGTTATAAAACTGTCCGTCTTGCGATCACCCTGATCGGCAACCGATATCAAAAATCACCTGAAGACTCCGCAACACTGCCAAGCCGGTTGTTATGTATAGCACATTCCCGTGCATCCAAATTAAAAGGTACATTACTGAAAATACTTCAATAAATCCAGGATATATCATCGGTCTTTCAAATGCATTGAACTGCACCCACACACGAAAACTTTATTATGAACTAATAGTCTTCTTCGTGTAGACGCTTTTTAAGCAAATGGAATTGGAATACAGAACCAATATCATGGAACCAATTTGAATTAGTATTGTTTTCAAACAGGATGAGTTTATACTAAAAGGTAGACATTAACTTTAGTTATATGATTGTTTCTTTCAGGACCGTTTCTTTTGTCGGTTTTTTTGGGGGAGGGGTTCAGGGATTTCACCTTGCGTACACGTTGAACAAATGATAACCGGCTTGACGGGTAATACGCTTAATATACTAAACAAGACACATACTCATTACTAAGCAGTGACAAACTAAAATGTCGGCACTTCCTTAGAAACGTTAGTCGAAAGAAATAGTGAGAACTAAAAACAAGAAAAACAGTTAAAACCTTTGTTTTTAATCTTAATGTAAACCTTTTTAACTTGCATTGTCAGCTTTAAGATGTTTCATTGGTATTACTTTCCTCTATTATAATGGTTTGGTTAGAATAATGCAATATGCAGTTTAGAAACCACACATACCGTCACTCGGACATCCTCTCTGTCCACGGTTTTATGTGGCAGGAAATGGGACTGTCATGAAGATTTTTCGCTGTTATATAATTTCTTCAATGTAAAACGGACTTTCAGTAAGACATATCCCTTACATAACTCCTCTGTAATAGTGTATACTACCTAGCTCAGATCGCCATTAAGACATCACTCCCCTTCACTGTAAGAATTTGTTATAATGAATTTAGGTCATGTCTCCTTTTATCAGTCTCCTAAGTTGTAACTAATGTTAAATATCAGGACAGTTGTTGAGACATACGTACAATCTAATAATATTTGCCTGTTTGATGTAGCTGTTATGATATATGATTATCAACATGTTCTAAAATGTAACCTTAATTATTTCTATAGTATATTTAGATAACACATGCTCAAGTATCACCTGATCCGTCTAGGCCAATACGTTCTTGTTAATGACATTTTGAGGTTTTTGTCGATCTCGAAAGCAACCCCTAGGTAAACATCTCGATATATAAAAAATGTACAAAGTCTGAATAGGGTATAAACGTCGACGAGTGCTGCCAGTTCACCATCTGTCACACGCACCACTAAGACTAGAGGGAGCATATAAGGTAAGTAATGTTAAGATCGAACGTGGCTGTACCATAGATCCAAGTATACTAGTAGATGCAAAGTGGAACTGATGTCTGACCACTACAGTGATGCCAATAAATATCAGCTAGCTTACACACTTGGTCTGGTCATGACAGTGACGCATGCAATTATTATCATCAGCTTGCTCTCTATTCAAATGGAGATGTACTAATTGAGAACTATTGTCAACTAAATCTATTTCTATTTAAAAACTAATCAACATTTCAATTTTTTGTTTGCTCGGGAGTCCAGTATACTTTTGACTTATACTATGGAAATGAACGCGCCCAACGGCTTAAATTTCTGCCTTGGAGGCCATCGAACTTTAGATATAGGAACTGTAAATATTGAGCGCTTCTTCTACAAAGACGATCGTGATTGTGAAAATGACGGAAAGATTTCGTTTTTTTCAGGACAAAACTTGCCTAGATACGTATACAATAACAATATATATTTCCCTATAAACGGTTTAACTGTCACGAGACACTGCATATGGAAGCTGGAGCATGTTTCTCCTCTTATTAGACCTTTCTCAGTTTGGGGTAGATCTAGTACAGGGCGTGGAGACAGAGACCTAGACAAGCAAATTTAATACAAGGGTCATTTCAAAAATGATTTAAAATGTAACGTAGCTTATAGGGTATGTCAGAGTGTGTAAACACACGTGACTACAGGTAAGCGAACAGGTAACATCATATGGAGACACAGATTAGAAATTATGTAACCGGTAACCGCAGTCGTTATAGTCTTGTTCGTGTCTCACTGCGCCAGGTATGTAACCGTGGTAATTGATATTTCAATATCTCCGTTAAGGATCTTATCTGGGACGTCTATTTTTTTTTGACGCCTATTGAGTTAAAAGAAATTCCCCCAGTCAAACAAATCAGGTCAAAGAAGTTTTAATTTTACCAGAGTGACAGGGTTCACATATACATTTGTAGATTATATTTTCCATCCACAAACTTCCTAGGACACAATATTTCCTTACTACGAAAGAAATGTTTAACGCTTACACGGTGTCTTTTTATAATAGCGTTAAGCTGAAGGTATTTGTTCTACACATTTTCGTCTCTTCGTTCCTTTGCATCTTTGTATAGAGGTGGTTTGACATAAGGACGCTTATTAGCATCCCTTCGTGACAAAGTAACGTTTGAATGTTCCTTCGTAACAGTAACATGATGGCGACGAAGCAGTTTTATGCTATTCTTAGAAGACTATTTTGAGGATCGTTTCAGGGTAATGAATTTTCGGATTTCTATACTACTGCGATCAACTCTAGCATGCGCCGAGTCTTCGTGTTCAGTAGAAACCGTAATTTTAAAAGAAATCGTTTCTG